GGGGAGGGGGGGCGGGGGCGCGCGGGTGTTGACTTTTGGTTAGGCGGGTGGTGGTGGGGGGGGGGTGCGGCCGTGGCGGTTGCCGCCTGGGGAGGGCCGGGCCGTAGGCCTGGGGGGGCCCGGGGGGTTTTGCCACCGGCGCGCGAGCCGGAGGGTTGGGCAAGGTGGTGGTGGTGGGGTGTGGGGCGGGGGGCGCGGGGCGGGCCGGCGCCCGGGCCGGGGGGCTGGAGGCGGGGGGACCGGGTCGAGGGGGCGGGCGGCGGGTGGGTGGTGCGGGGTGGTTCTCGCCAGGGGCGGGGGACGGGTTCTTTTGTCCCAGGGGGCGGGGACGGCGCCGGAGGGGGGGGCGGGGTGGGCGAGGGGGGTTGGTCGGCGGGGGCGGCCGGGGTGAGGGCGGGGTGTCGGGTGGCGTGGGGCCGGGGGGGCGGTCAGGGTGGGGCGGTCGGACGGCGGGGGGGCGGGCGGCGGCACTGGGGCTGAGCGGGTTTTTGGCGCGGCTGGAGGGTGTCGTCTTTGTTTGAGTGGTGCCGCGTTGCGCGGGACGGGCCGGGCGGGGGGGGGAGGTCGTGCGGGGGCCACCGCCGGGCCCGGCTGCGGGGGGTGGGGGGGTCGGGGGTGGCGGGTGGGGGCTGGCGGTGGGGGGGCGGGCGGAGCTGCCTGCAGGGGGGTTGGGGGGGGTTTTCCGCGCCCCCTGCGGGGTGCCTGGCGGCGGGCGCCCGCGGGGGTTTTGTGGGCTGAGTGGCGGGAGGGGGGGCGGAGGTGTGTGTTAGCAGGGGGCCCGGGGTTGGGGGCGTACGGTCTTTTTGGGGCCGGGGCGCGGGGGGGGGGGGGCGCTGGGGCGGGTCGGGGGCTGGCCGAGCGGGTTTTGGGTGGCGGAGGGTGCGAGTGGGACTAGCAAGTGCGGTTGGGGGGGGGGGCGGGGAGCGGGGGCGGGCCAGCTAGGGCGGGCGCGGGCGAGCGTGGTAGGCAGGGCACTTAGAGCGGTGCGGGCGAGGCGGCGGGTTCGGGGGGGGGGGGGGGTCGGGCGTGCAGGGGGCGGACCCGCCGGGGGGGCCGGGTAGGCGTATGCCTGGGGGCGCCGGGGGGGTGGGGGGGGGGGAGGGGGCTGGGGAGGGTGGGTTGGTGCGGGCCGGTTTGCGGTTTGCTGTGGGCAGGGCCTGCGGCGTCCCCCGGGCCAAACTCTAAGCAAGTGTGGGTGCGGGGCCGAGGTTGCGGGGCGGGCTCCGGGGGGCAGGGGATGGCGGGGGCGCGAGGGGTGGCGGGGCCCGGGTGCGCGCGGGGGGGGGCCTCGGGGGCGCGGGCGCGCCGGGGGGCCGAGGCCCGCGCCCTGGCCGCCCGGGCGCGCGGGGGGGGGGGGGGGGGCACCTGGGGGGGCGGGGGCGGCCGGCAGGAAGCGGGGGGGGGCCGCCACCCGCCAGGGGCAAGGCCCCGGGCGGCGGCGGGGGGGTGGCGGGGCTTCACCCCTAAGGTCCCACCGCAGGCACCAAATGACCAATGCCTCGCAAGGCTTACCCTGGCTGTTGTTGGTTCTTTGCGTGTCTTGGCCTATACGGGGAGGTAATTAAGCAACCCACACCCCTGCGGTTTGTCCAACAGACCCTATACTCCTCTGGCTCCCCCGACCTGCCGGGTTCCCTTTTGCAAATACAAATCGGCCCGCCACTGACAGAGCTGCAAGTCCCCGACCACCCACCCCCCCTGGATTTTAAGCACGAAGTCACTTGAATTGTATCAGCTCACCACACCACCTGATCTTAAGATACACCAGGTAGGTTGCGTTGATCGGAGCGGGTGGGCGCCGCCGTCGGGGGCGCCTCCGGGGGAGGGGGGGTGGGGGGGGCCCGGGAGAAATACTACCAACATACATTATTTAGGGGGCGCTATTAAAACAAGAAGGAGTAATGTACAATCGGTCATCAAGTAAATTGTACATGAAAGATAAGAGTTCTTGTTGGGCGCTAATCTCAATGTCCCCTGAGATTTTCAGTGTGTCTTCTTGTTTGCTTCTTTACCTCCGCAACAATCGGTATCGACTTCCTCCGACATTTTGGATTGCTTTTTCATGCTGGGCGCCACAGACATTTAGACGACCGTACTAAACAAGGGGTTGCAGACGTTCTTACGGACACCCCAATAAACTGTCCCGTTTCCATAAACCCCGACGTACCTATTGAGTAGGCGAACCGACGGTTTAAATACCCGTGACTGTCACGATAACAATAGAGCATTCTGCAGCCGAGGTAGTGGTTGCTCATCATATTATCACGCGCAAGCCGCCAACGAGTGCCCGGGCAAGATGACCCGCGTCTAACAAAGTAAAAGTCTCAAGAGCTGAATTCGATCATTTTTACAGCTCAGTATAATAAGACCCTCCGACAGCCCATGGGCGTCACCCCTCCACATGGTTTCGAAAACGACCATTGAGGACTGGCGTCCTAGTGGCGATTATCGATCTATAAACAATGTAACCATGCCTGATCGCTATCGTATCCCACATGTCGTAGAACTCGAAGTCAGTGTAACAGGTAAAAATTTTTCAGTAACCTTGCCTGTGTGCGCGCTTACCATCAAACTCCTGTAGCCGAGGCGGACATATCTACAACTGCCGTGACGACTTCATTTAATATGTTCGAGGTTCTGCGCATGCCATACGGTTTAAAGAAGGCCACGCACACGTTCGACGCTCTCCCGAGCAAGTTTGTCGCGGACTGGGCTTTGCTTATGCCCACCTCGGCGACAACTTAATCGAGAACTCCCCACGCAGGGAGCAATTAAGCCAGGTTCTAACGATTTTTGATCGTTTATCTCAACACGGTGTGAGGATCAACGCCGAAAAATGTTTGTTTGGTGTCGATTCGGTCGATTTTCTGGGCCACCATACCTCTCCTGCAGGCGTCGTGCCACTACAGAATGAAATTAAGGCCATTATCGATTACCCGGAGCCTCACTCTTTTAAACAGCTTAGAAGGGTGGATGGCCTTGCCAACTTTTAGCACCGTTTGAAATCTAGTTGCGCTTCCCTTACTGCAACACTTCACGGACGTTCCCCAGGGAAAGCTTACGAAAATCGCTTTTCCTGCTGCAGCCAGCTCCGCCTTTCAGACTTTGAAAGAAGCTACGGCTAAAATAGCAGCTATAGCGTATCACGATCCGGTAACCCACGGTCCCTTAGTACCTACGCTTCTGTCCTGGCAGTTGGGGCGGTCTTAAAACGAAATGAAAGTGACGCTTTGCAGCCGTTGTCATTTTACTCCAGAGGGTTGCGACCTGCAAAATTTCATTTTTGGTACTTTCGGTAGAGAACTATAAGCCACTTATTTATCCACACGTTATTTCCGACTTGTCTTAGAAGGTCGTTTCTTTGCCGTCTTCACTAACAACAAACCCTTGAGGTACCTGCGTAGCTCGATTGCCGACAGATACTCTCCTAGAAACTCGCGCCACCCAAATTATATCGCCCAGTTTACGACCGATGTACGGCAAGTCAGGGGTGCACAACACTGTCGCGGACGCACTTCCCCAAATTCAAGCGATCTCCGCGGACGCCAACGCCTATATCGATTTGGCAGTCTAGGCCGCTGCAGAACTCTTTGATCCTGAGTTTTATAAACTATGCAGGTCTCTTTCACTAGACATACGACCCGTTCCGTTGACAGTCTTAGACGCGATTATATGTTGCGACTTATCTCTGTGCACGCCACGACCATACGACCCACGCGAGCTTCAGCAGACCGTGTTAGGCATGTCGCACCCAGGTATTAGTGCATTAAGTAAACTCGTAACCACGCGATTCGTCTGGCGCAATGTCAATCGTGACGTTCGCACTTGGGCAGCTGCTCGCCTTCCGTGTGAACGCGCGAAAGTGTATAAGCAGACAATAAAACCTGTAGGACCATTTCTCACACTAGATGCATGTTTTCCCACAGTGCACGTCAAAATCTTAGGTCTTCTGTCAACTTCAGAAGGTTCTGTATGCCTACTGACCTGTTTCAATCCAATCACAACGTTGCCAACATTTATTCCGACACCTGATCGCTCTTGTGAAATGGTAGCGAAAGCTTTGTTGGCGCGTTGGGTGGCTCAATACGACTGTCCCGGAATCGTTCCCACCGATCGAGGGTCACAATTCGCGTAGACTTTTGCTGTCATTACCTTCAGACGACGGCTATCATCCGGCCGCTAACGGCATGGTGGAGCGCTATTATCACAGTTTTAGGCAGCGGTACGTGCGCACGCGGATCTTTCCTGGTCTGAAACCTTTCCTCCCGTCCTTCTAGGCTTAAGAAACAATGTTAAAACCGACTTCGAAGCAACGCCAGCAAAGCTAGTCTATGGCTGCAAGCTGCGCTTTCCTGGACAACTGGTTACACAGCCCCGCCTTCTTCCAATTTGCCTACGGAAGTTACACCGTCCGATTGGCTGGCCAGCTGCGCGAGCTGTCCGCCGCTGCAGGATCGCAGAAGACACCCTTGTGCGTGTCCGAGTTGTCCACATGTTCACAAGTTCTGCTCCGCGCAACCAGTGTTAGGCAGTGTCTCCAGTCGCTGTACATAGGCCCCTTCAAAGTGCTACACGGCGGGAAAAAAGGTAGACGATTGACCTCGGTGCCCGGAGCGAAGTCGTTAACATCGGGCGACTCAAACCAGCTTTCATCGACGAGGTAGCTGAGCTTATGGCTAATTCGAACTCTTCATGTGACCCTACGAATAACCGCGTCCAGGTACAAACACCTAGCGTCCTGCAGCGGGTACCGCTTTAGGTTAACAGGATAGGGTCGTTCAGACGTCATCGGCTACTGTGAGCCTGCCACATTCCACGATCAATCACCGTGGGCGGAAGGTTCGTAAACCCGCTCCGTTTTTCGAGTATGTACAGTGTAATGAAGCTGTTTATAAATAACTGCCGTTTTTGGTCGATTCACGTTTTGAAGAAACAGAAAAATCAAAAACTCCTTATAACCTTATTTAAAAGACCTACAAGAACCAAAATACCGAAACATATTTACATGCAGATCATTCGTTCGTCCATTTTGACGTGTATTGCGTGTGCTTTCTCGTCTCTACAGGCCCCAATCCTCCTCTGCGATCGACTAATCCTTACGAGCGACATTTTCGAGGATTGCCAAGTCAAGGAAGGTCCAGACGCGGACGCAGGTCGTTACTCTTCTGGACGAAGGCCGTATCTTAGTAGGATGCTAGTCGGTTCTCCGTGGGACAAGGATCCTTTCTACGTGAGACAACGGTCTTTTCTTCGTGGGACGAGAGCCGTTTCTTTGTAGGACGAGGATCGTTTTGGCAGAGGGTGGTGCGGCGGGTGAAGAGGCCACTCCTAAGCGCACCGCTTGGACGCGACGAAGATTGTGGTCCCTTCAGCCTGTTCTCTGGGCTGGCCAGGTAATTGAAGTCCGACAAGCCCACTCCAACGGCTTGCCGAAATAGGCCCTGCTCTTTAATCAATAAATAATAAATAACAAACAGCGCGGCAGTCTCAAACTTCCGGGGAATATCCATTTGACACGAGCACTCACTCATTCATACTCCGCAGGATTTTGCCCCACGGAACTCGATTCACCGTCAGTTTCGATATCGAAGGCTTCCTATGTTCGGCCTTCTAAGGAGGGTTCTGTAGCGCCCAAAAAGATCCCTGCCGCCTTATCATGCCCAAAAGCCGGAATCGCTTTGTCGGGAGTGAAATGTTTATTTATTTATCTGTTATATGCTATTGCATTGTTGAACAATTGCACATAATACTTTCTTGTTTTAATCTCCCTTTCTACCGACGTGTCACTTGATCGTCTTGTAGGTTTCTGCATAACGTGTTGCTCCTGCCACGCTTCATTCGTCCGCGTCATCTTACAGCCTATCGAAGGCACGCCGTTGCGTCCGACTCTAATTGCTTTCAGGGATCCGCGCTTACTTTTGAGCAACGCCCCATATTTGTATTCACTTGTCCTATGGTGGTGAGTGCAGTTGAGTCCTGCTGAGGTACAGCCATGGTCAGATGGGTCCTTGTTGGTTACTTCATCTTAACTCAGGCGAAAACGTAGTTTGTCAGTCCACTTACGGATTCCCAATAAGCTACTAACCTCGGAAAAAGGGGAAAGAGGAACACGCCTCGCTTACTCACAAAAATACTAAAACTGGGTATGAAGTCATTTCCCCGGAAGCTCTCGCCGCGAGCAAGTTAGAACGAATTGGTCGGGATTTGCATATTTATTAGGTGTATCTTCCGTAATAGAATGAACACGGTTGCTATACTGAAGTAAAAAATTAGCAAGGAATAATTCGAGTTCCTCAAAGATTTTTGGAGCACAGGAGATAATTACGACAGTTTTCGGCTAATCCGTTAAAGCAAGAACGTCCGGGGGCAGTAAACAGTTGATGACAATCAAGGCTGCGTAACCAAGCAGTAACACATGATGCAATGCGCTGTGAACCATTACCACGTACAGTAAACAGAGGCACACTCTCATGACTTCACAGTCTTAGGGCACGAATAGTAAAGTTGGCATTTAGATTATCCGTCATGAATACTTCATACCACTTGGAATAACAGTCAGTGAATAAAAGCGCATGATACTTCTGAAGGAACCGACCACAGTTATCAAGGAGGACACGCTGCTAGGTTTAATACGCCATTGGGCGGGGCGTTCATTTACGTGGTCAC